ATTTATAATTTTAAAATTTCTTAAAATAAAATACGTTTTTTTTCGCTTGTCCTGTACTAAATTCTACTTGACAAATTGCAAAACCCTCGGGACAAATGTGGAAGGAATTTATAGGTTGAGTAGTAACCATTCAAGAATAGTTAGTATTAAAACATTAGTTCTATAAACATAAATCCTATGATCATATTGGAAAGAGGGTTAAATTTCTTTAATAACAATTTAAAGTAGATACAAGCAGATTGAACTTATGACATAAAAAATTTGATTCGATCAACATCTGTTTTCTTCGACCATAAAAATACAGTAAATACCGCAAATCTCACTCGCAAAACTAAATATCGCAAAATTGAAACGAAACTGGCGTTCGTCATTACAATTTCGTAGTATTTTCCCGTTGGCGCGTAAAATGAATTTCGAACGGAGTGAGCGGCAGCTGACCGGCAATCTATCGGAAATCCATTTTGTGCGTGGAATGTTTATTCGAAATTTGAAAATTGCTTTCCTTCCTTTTTGCGTACCCACATCGAGTCAGGGAGGTATTTTATGTTGTATCGATCCAACGGAAGAGACTGTTGAATTCGATTTTTGAAGTTTTTTTCTCTATTACAATTTTAATGTAAATATTATAAAGTTGAGAATTTTAAGAACAACTTGAAATTGGCGGTACTGTGATAACTCACAAATCCAACCATTGATAAAAAGAAGAAGAAGATCCAACGTACTCGGATTTTCATTGACTGTTCTTAAATATGTCATCAGATGGAAATGAATGGATAGGTACTTTTAACTTTTTATTACAGTTACCACAGAACGAAAATTTTAATTATTAATATTTTCTGCCTGTATATTGCGACCAGGATATTGCACCGAGCCGGCCCATTATTGTGGCTCTAAGGAACGGGAAATGGTGAAAATAATTAAATATATTATTTTAACTATTTCCCGTTCCTTTAGTTTCCTTCTTTACTGTCGGAGCGAAACAGGGTTCCCAAAAACACGACTCCCCTTTTAGTTTGGGCCAAAACCGAATCCTGTTTGGAATGAAATATTTTGAAGTTATAATTTACTTTTGGCGCGTTTGGAAAAATTATGAGAGTAAACTTTTTACGTGCGTACATAAAGTACACACGTACTTTTTTTACAATTTAACCCAGAAATATATTAAAAAATACTTTAATACCATTATAAGAATAAACAAGGAACGTCGTTGGCTTTGACGCGTGATAATGAACAGAACCGAGAAATATAAGGTTAAGAAAATAATTTAAAAGCATTGTACAGTAATATTATAGTAAAGAGTGTGGAAAATAAAAAGATAACTTCATGAAATCTTAAAATTTTTGATCTAGTAATTTTATTAATGAAAATACTTTTGAGCTTTGAACGACATAGTTTGGCGAAAAGTAGCTATCAACTAAAAAACTTACACATCACTTTATGCTATTTGAAACACAATCTTTACTGTTTTATGAATGACTAGCAACCCGCCCCGGTTTTGCACGGGTGAAATGTATTATACACATCAAGTAATAAAAACGGCATTAAGATCCATTGCGTAGTTTCAAAGATCTAAGCATATATTGTAGGGACAGACAGACAGTGGGACGACTTCGTTTCCATACTAGCGAGTAACATGTAGTGAAGCCAATAGCATGATTTGTTGTAATTTTTCAAATTGACACGAAAAAGGTTTTACCGAAAGATATTTTGGTAATGGATCTTTCGGTGCATTAGCGAATTGCGCGGGCTGGCCCTGGAATAGCAATTTTTGCGGAACGAATAACTGTTTTGGCGTGCGCCCAACGAAATTGCATTAGTCCGTATATCTACGCGTTTACTTTGAGTTATTTATGGATGTGAAAGCTCTGCGAGAAAGGAATAATCATTGGAATATAACAGTATTTTATAAATGTAGATATTTTAGTATGTAGAGAAATGTATTGGATTAAAGCAATAACATTATACGAAAACTTGATAACTTGATACTTTTTACATAAAAAAAAAGAAATTTTGTGGCTTGACCAAGTTAAGAGCTTCCGCTGCCGGCACCAATGAAATTGTTGATTACAATTTTCATTGGTGATCACGTACTCAGCGGTAAATGAAAACATCGTGAGGTATCCTGCATATTTTTGAAATAATAAAAAAAATATTTCGAAGATATGTGAAGTCTTTCATTCCGCAGTGGGATCGCGTAATCTAACAATTCAAATTCAAAATATTTTTTTTTATGCGAAAAGTTGTCAAACGAGCAGACGGTTCACCTGATGTAAAGTGAATACCGCCGCCCATGGACATCTGCCACACCCGAGCGTTACAGATAACCTTTTGAAAATTGGGCTCCGGCTACCTCACTCACCAGACGAAACGTGAAAGAATTTGTCATACTTCCACTTTATGCTGGTCTTCTGTGAGGTCGTGGTACTTACCCGGACGGGCCTGCCCATTCGTGCAACAGCTGAGGCAGCTGCGTGGCCCTACCACCGTTAACGTCTATTCACATAGACGCTTGCGCGTTCCTATGAAACGTCAAAATTTCACATAAAAATTATAGCGGTCTTTACCCTGCAGTGGGTCTCATACAGGCTGTTGTTAGTTTACTTTTTTTCTACTTTTGCCGAACTTCCGTGAGGCCACAGTTCTTCTCCGCACGAGAAAAGCATTTTTTTTATTTTTTGTGATTTACAAAAGCGACTCCCGAACTAGGGTAATCGCCTGTTTCGTAGTGGACGGGCCGCTGCTAAAATATCAAACCTGGATTAAATTCATGAGGTTGTATAGTTTCTTAGGAAACTTAAATCTAAATTTAATTATTCTTTACCTGTTATAAGTGGGTTTATCGTTAAGTAAAGATACATTTATTTCAATTTATGTAGGTATATACATGTAATTGGCTCAGTTTTTAATCTAAATAAATATTTGGATATAGTTCTTGCAAATTATTTTTCAAAATGTATCATGTAGGTAGGGGTATTTAGTTATCAGGCAACAATTCTGCAAGCTATAAAAACCGGCCAAGCGCGAGTCGGTCAGTCTCGCGCACGAAGGGTCCCGTACCTTTATCTAAGAAAATTTTAACCGTCTAACTATCACGGTTCATGAGATATACCCTGGTTACAGACGGACAATCAGACAGACAGACAGTCAGACAGACAGACAGACAGCAAAGACTTAGTAATAGGGTCTCGTTTAGATTCATTGACAGTCCATTAGATTGGGAACCCGTAATTTATAAAGCACCCGTAAATTATCCAAGCACATAAACAGCGCATGACATCAAGATACTCGTATAAGGTATTTCTGTAAATAGGACAAGTTTAATTATTCAAAAGTTGAATGTAACTCTTAGTCCCGTGACTATGTATGTTGTAAATGTTCAAAACGTCGGAAACTTAAAAGAAAATCAACACCGCAAAGTAGTTTTATTAACAAATGGGGGTCCCAAACTAAGTAAAACTTTGGTAACTAAGTAAACCGGTGCCCCACGCAAGAGTCTTCGCTGTTTCACGAATGGGCAGGTCCGTTCGGGGAAGTACCTACCAGGAACTCATAGACGACCGGTGTCAAGTCGAAGTTTATAATTGTACCTTTCTTCTGCTGAGTCAAGGTAGCCGAAGCCCAGTGTATTAAAAGGTGGCAACACCGCTACAACTCTACAGGTGTTGCAAATGTCACTGTGGTGGTCAAACACACACAATGGTTATCACTTAGGTGAATCACCAGGTCGTTTGCCGCTTTCTCATATATAAAAAAATAGTCTTGGGAGCCAGCTTCTCCTTGCTTCTCCTTAATGTGATGTATCTGCTTACATTATTTCGGATACTCGAGAGGCGATTTCAACATTCAATAGCGAAATCTGCGATCGTGCCTCTTTTAATCCGAAGTAAGTGCTTAGATACACAGCCCAAGCAATAGGTCAGTTCTAACCTTTGTTATAATAAACAGACAATAAAGATAGGGTTGTCCTTTCGAAACATCGATGTTGTGTATTGAAATTACTTTAGCATTACGAATTGCGTATTAATATTCTGACTTATTACAAGATCTTTTAATAAAAAACGGTCTAGTGCTTTAATATTATTAATAATAATACGATGTATTGATAAACGCAGTAACCTGTTCATATTGTGATCGGGCGAAAACACCGACGCCGGCAATTTTGCATAATAATGAAAGTGGGGACAAATTCAAGTTCCTATATTCAATATAGAAGCATTACAATTACTTATCGATTGTCAAAACACTACCACTGGTTCGGAAAAGCAAATTCAAAGCGGTAAATTCGTAGAGGCGCGATAATGGAAATGGGAGGACGAAATGTTTTATGTAATGCTGCGCACATGCAGAAATGTAACCGACAAAAACGGAGACTTATTTCAGATGTTTTTTTTATTTCAATACATTTTTCAACGTGGTTCTGATTTTTTTTGAGTGTAACTAATTTGAGTGTGATGTACATTTTTATTGCCACTAATCTTAGTGTGATATTCATAAATAGTATCTATTTTTGAGATAAAATTTATTTTGGAAATTAGCTCGGTGATCTAAAATCCAGCTGATTCGACACCGGAATTGGAAGAAAAATGGTTTATTCTAAATATATTAAATATATATTATAAGTATCTTCTCTTATATAATATGTATGTGTCTAGAAGGATTTCTTAATTTATTATTATTCGAAAATGAACGTAATTAAATGATATGGGAAAGCTGAACAAATTTTTTCGCAAATAATGTCAGAATTATTACTCGATTCGCAAAGATTTTCATTAAATTCTCTGTGAATGATGTAACTTACATTTTTACATTACTTAACATATCGATATGGGCCCGTCGCGCGCTGCCGGGCATCACTAGTCGAATCAAATCATCCGGGCCAATTTGACGTGGCGTCGCGTCGGAATATCTCGGGCCGTTTCGCCAGCAAGTGCTCAGTGAAATGACACCGCCGTAGATGGTTAAAGAACAAAGCAGCTGATCTATGTCTCGCATATTCGCAGTGCTCGTGATATGTTCAGTGCAGAGCCTGCAGTTGGACAGCCAGGCGTCCACGCGACGGCCGAGGGTCACGAAGTACAGCAAGACCACGCTCACGCCCGGCGCCTCAACGGTGAGTTGAACGTTCTGCTTGCTCCTTTCTCTACTTAAGCGTCTGTTTAGTAGCAAATTCTTGTCTTTCCCTTCTTTCGCATGTTCAATAAAATCAAATAACTTCTGTTCTCGTCTATGTCTAATGGATATCGTCTTGATTCACTGCACTTTTATTAGTTTCATTCACGGGTGGTTCTACAATTGATTAGTTATTGGAAGTTGTGAGTTGCACTTTCTGCTTTCCTTCTTTAGTATCACTTTAATAAAATGTTACAATTCTAATGCTACATCAGTTCTTCTCTATGGGTTATGGCCATCGTCTTGCTATCAATGTCCTATTTTTAGTTTCATTCGTGGGTGTTTTTCCTATTGATTTGTTAGTTGAAAGCACGCAACAGTTTCTGTTGTTGTATGAAAAGACAGACTCCTCGGGGAAGTAAAATGGCCTCAAAGAAGGTCGGCCTGAGGCGGAAGTATTATACTTTCCCGTCTCTTCTGGTGAGTCAGGTAACTGGGGCCCTAATCCTTACTAATATTATAAACGCGAAAGTTTGAATGTATGGATGGATGTTTGTTACTCTTTCACGCAAATACTACTGAATGGATTTTAATGAAACTTTACAATAATATAGCTTTTACATCAGAATAAGACATAAGCTATAATTTATATACATATTTTATGTAAATCTGTCTTTCTGTTTGAATGTTACGCCTTCAGCCTATACTACGCAGACGTAGTTGCGGGCAGCAGCTAGTTTTTAATGTTTGTGACGCATCTGCAACGGCTTGGCTGTAGTAAACACTTAAAATCAGATAAACCGCTCGCTTTCCACAGTAAAAATAAGACCAGTATAATTGGTAAAGATTAAGCTTTTACCTGACTTCTTCTGACTTGATTTACAAAATTTAAGATTTCTAAATAAATACTAAGATATTTGTTTATTATTTTTATTATAGAATATTGTCTATGTTCCTAAGATATAATGTAACTGGCCGCCAATTAAAACAAATTTTTAAGAATAGCATTTCACGTGTCTTGTCTTTTCAGGATACGAATATACACAAAACAGTGACTCTCCCGTCTGTTAACCGATTTTCCTTTTTTGTTAAGTAACTATTGACGAGATTTGGCCCTATCAATAAAAAAAATATTTTTTTTACTGAATTATTTCGTATTTCAAGGGCATACAATAACAGAGCGTGTAAGAGTACATTTTTTTTTTGGAAAAATGACAAAAAATTAAGAAAACCTTTTTTTTCATAAATATTTTACTTAAGATGAGGTCGAATTACGATCACTAGACGAGTACTAGTATACTACTACTAGTATACTACTGGTATACAGTAGTGGTATAGCATGGATTTGGGTGTAATTATTTTGATATACACTTAATTCACGTATATTGTCTAGACTAGCAATATAATGGACGGTCTTTATTAAAACCCTGAATTTATAGTTTAAGGTTGATGTATTAAGCTTTTATTAAGGCCGGTTATGAAAATGTCAGACGCCCCTTGACACTCGCCATATGTCGGTACATACACACAATATTTTATTAGATTGACCTGAATTGTATCGATTGAACAATAAAGTGAAATCTTGTCATACAATTCTTAGTTGTTGCATACATGTTAAGAGTTTTAGACGTACAACATTAGTAAGGCCTATAAGTACCACGTTCTCACAGACCAGCATGGGTGGTCAATTTTTTTTATTCGGTTGTGTAGGGTGGTATTAGTCGGTTGAAAAACGACTTCAAAAAAGGAGGATTTTCTCTTTTTTTCTCATTTATGAACTATTACTTCAGAAGCCTGTCTCTGTCATACGTTAAAAACTAATTCAAGAATTAAAAATAAAGAATATAAGAATAAACGTAGTTTACTTCTCTAACTTCGAACGCAAACCCAAATAACAAACGCATTGTTGGTCGAGATTTGATGATATTGCATCATGCTTTTTTACTAACTAAAGTTTTAGAAAAAAAAAATATACATCAATTTAATTTCAGCTATAAAAAATGAAAAAAAAAAAAAAAAACATTTTTTTTCACTCTATTCTTGTGTATTTATTTAGTTCGTGTGTTAAAACTAAAATTCGTGAAAACAATTTTTAGTGTAAATTCTTGTGGAATTTCGTCCAATTCGTCCAAAAAGATTTACATCCCTCAAGCGCCTACACTTCTTTTCCTAATAATTAAAAAAAAAAAAAAACGACTTTAGCCAGGTAACGTGAAAACAAAATATTGTGCCATTCGTGAACTCGACATTTTTGGAACGAAATACATCATAGGTCACTTTCATATTCTTTCCACTCCTCAAAGAAATATATAGGCTCACAATATACAAGTTCAAATATACAGATAAACAATGTATAACAAACAAAACAATCATACAGAGTAACATCCATCTATTGAGTGATAACGCTAAAATTATACATTACCCTGCAAACGACAGCTCTTTTATTTCGTAATGGAATCGTACAAATTGCCTCGCGTACAGGCTCTGATCCAAAAAGGTGAAGTTATTTATATCTAGAAAAGTCGTGAATATTTAGCACATATACTAGTATTATCTACAAATGTTATAATAGAATATTTTCATTAGGCTTTTATCGGACTGCGCAGCCAATTTTGCATGTGCCCGTGTCATCTTCCGCCTCCTTTGGCTGCGTTTGTTATTCATAGGCACACTCCCTGTGAGTATCCCAGATTTCTGCAGTGCCAATAGTTTTGCTGTTTTACTCTTTGCTTCAATTGCACTTATTTTTCCATTCTTCTGTGAAGTATAAAGAACAATTTTCCTTCTGATCCAAGCATGGAATAGAGTTTTGAAAGTGCTAACTCATAAGTAGTTTAATTTTCTAGTGCGACATAAGCTTTTAAATTTAATTATATAAGAATACGTATATAACTTTTATTTTAACTAAAAATTTAATTTGAAACTTTTTACACCTGCCTCTTTTGTCTCTGCGTCCATAGGTTGAGTAGTAGAGAATGCCTTAGGCATTAAGTCCGCCTATACACAATGTAAATTTTTTGTGTAAAATTTTAAATAAATAAATAAAATAAATAAGATATAGCTTATGTCGCAATAAGCTTAGCTTTTTCCATTTTTTTCCCTTTTTTTCGGAAGACGTACATCCTTACTAATATTATAAAGGCGAAAGTTTGTATGTGTTTGTTACTCTTTGCCGCAAATTATACTTAATGGGTTTTATCTTGTATCTTGTATTAACTGATGTTTTTGCTTTCAGTCCCGAGACTATTAAAGCTTCATCTGACGCAGAACCGGTGGGCTAGCCAGAGCCCATGGGTTTGGGCCCTCCGCTGTGGGTAGGGTCACGCATGTGCTCATGCGTGCGTTTAACTATGGTGTGTCATCTAAGGGCCATCGAGGTCGCGGTTCGGACCGACACTCCGATGGCCGTCGACTGTGCAATTAGCTAATCGGGGGCTGGGGGCGGTGAGAACCGCCCCGGAACGTGGGTGTACCTTGTGTACGCGTTGTGTTGGTCTCGCCGTGCTCGGAGGCGAGGGCGAACTAGTGTGTTTGTTGTTGCACTAACTGTGGGTGTAGTGTTGTCCGGCGGGACCCCCGGCGGTGGGTCCGGCGTATCTAAGTCCCCTTCCTCGATCGGGTCGATTAGGACGTTTCTCGGGCGACGCTTGTTGACGTTCGCGTTTGTGTCGAGTTGGTAATTTGCTGCGCTTACCACCAGAGGGTTGGGATGATGTTCGGCTCTATCGATGAACCGTTTGGTCAGGTCTTTAAAATATCCGCGAATCGTCGGGAGTCTGCAATCGCTGTGCAGGTCGACGTTGCGTTGATACCACTGCGCACCGGTTGCGCGGCGGATGAACTTATTTTGTACTATTTGCAAATGGATTTTAATGAAACTTTACAATAATATAGCTTATACATCAGAATAAGACATAGGCTACAATTTATCTACATATTTTTATGTATATCTGTCTTTCTGTCTGAATGTTACGTTGTCTTTTATAAAAATTTTAAATCTGAGGAGAGTATAGTACAAATATCTACGTATAATCGCTGTCACAAAGTAGATAATATAATGCTAATGTCATATTTTTGCCTTCGTGACTGTGCTAAGTTATTGCTTTGTGTATTAGGATTTTTTTTATCCACTTTGGTTTCAGTCAATTTCAATTCAATCTCGACATTGCGATCGGTTTTATGCATGCAATACTTCATATCAGTCAGAGTGTTGGTTATGGTCAGCTTTTCGACTATGATATGTCAAGTAACTAATATTATTAATACTATCTATTATTATTAAATGTTGGCCAAAATAAAACGAAATGTCGCTCTATTAGGCGTTATCTTATAAAGTCTTAATTAACAATTTATAAAAACAGCTTTGTACGCAACTGAACACAAACGCGTAGTGGGAGCGAGACCAACAACGTTTACACGAGAGGCCACTACCCTTCCTCCACTCTACGGTTATGGCATGTCAATGGTTATGTATCGACTAAAGGATTTTTTGTTCAGGAGGCCGCGACGGAGAGGAGCCTCTTGACGGCCACGTATCGACTGCTGGGCGGTGGCGGGGAGACCTGTATTTTACTCACCGTAGACGCCCTCCTCGATATATCATACCTGACCAAACTTAACGAACGTGCCGTAAGTACCTATATCTAGTACCTTATGTGCGCCTGGTACCTTCTTTATTTAGTGGACATAAGTTGACGTTATTTATATTTACATAGAACTCTCATCTGGATAGCGATGAGGATCAGCATTTTACAGTTTATTAAATTTATAAATGTAATACTAATGATAATTGAGTTACAAATTATCGCCAAAACCTAGATCACGTTGTTAAGAATGCTAGCTGTACTCCCACGGTTAATAGTTTACCTTTGGGCGAGAATAGAACCCGTACCCTGCATCAATATGATGACGGTCGAGGATATTATTCTAACAAACCTTCGTTCCTAAAAGACTCATATTTGCACCACGATAAATCAAACCGAAACCTTAAAACATGTAGAAAAAGTACGAAAAGATTGTCGCCGCTGTGGGAATCGAACCACGTCTTCGGCATTCGCGGCCTGACCTACCGAAACTTAGTAGCTAAATACACCAGCGGACGTTATTTAACTGTGATAAGTCCACGCAGCAACTTCTACTGTTGCACGAATGGGCAGGCTCGACCGGGGAAGTATCACGGCTTCACAGCCGTTAGACGTGATGTGTAGGTATTATACTTTTGCGTTACGCCTGGTAAGTGAGGAAACTGAGCCCACTCTTTTTATTGGTCAGCAACTTGGTGTTGTAGACGTGGATGGCCGGCAGTATACCCAGGAATTTCTTTTATTTGCCCTTCCTTTTTGACTTTCTTGTTGCCTTCTTTTCGAGAATCATACAGTCGTATGATTTCATTATGATGTACCTTTTGTTCTAGGACGCCAACACGTTCGTGCCGAACAACGCGAACGTAGCAGGGGTGTGCAAAGAAGGCGACGCTGAGACCCTAGTCCTCTCGTTTAAGGAGTTCTCTCTAGAGTGGTCTTTTGCCAAGGTTTGTTATAATTCCGATAGAATTGCCATTGATGCAAAAGAATTTAATTCGATCGATGTGTCAATGTATTTGCTGTCATTTGTAACATGTAGAGTTTGTTGTTTTAATATTAAATCATTCGTATAGTGTCAGTGATATTTGCTGCCCTTCGAATGATAGAAAATATTGTCAAAGACTTATAGAAACGATCTCACTTAGTAGCTTCGATGAGGCCTGCCTGTTCAAGTTACATATTAATAATCTCCTTCCGTCTATCACTAACCCACCTTTGTGAATGGTACTAGTTAAGAGATAGCAAACAATCACATCCGGAACAATTATCTCTGGAACACACAAAAACTTGTCCCGTGTGATCGAATGTGTAATTAAGGTTAAATAACGGCCAGGGGTCAACGACATAGCTCTCCGGATTTGCAAGCTAAAATGGCAATGGGCAGGCCACATCACTCGAAGAAGTGATACCGATGGGAAGTAAAAGTTCTCGAGTGCCTAAAACCGGAGAACGTAGCGTCGGAAGGCCTCCCTCTAGATAGTCTACGTGTTCCGACGACATGATAAGACTCGCGGGCAACTGGTGGATGCAAATGGCAAAGTGTCGTTCGTTGTGGCGTTCCAAGGGGCCTATGTTCAAAAGTGGACGTCTTGCAGTTTATGATTAAGATGAAGATGATGATGATCGACCAGGGGTTCATGAACATCGCTTTGGTCCATCAGACTCCAGGCGGCGAGCGCTGGTATGTAGAGAGCATCAGACTGACGTACAACTCGAGCTCCCGTATACTGGAGCACGCTGCGCAGCAGGGCAGGAGGGTGACACTAAGCACAGGGCCGCGTGCCCTGCTCTTCCCCACGCCAGTCGGCAAGTCATTCTTCTGTCCCGACGAGACGATCGTGGAACTGACCGAGGATGACACGAGGTGAGTTGTTGTTGACAGGGCAGTTGCCAAACGATCAACGGGTTCGGGCTGCAAAGTCACCGCCATCGTCCATGGAATGCAATTTTAAACCTTCGAACTATTGGGTCAAGGTCAAGAGCTATTGGCAAGTTTGTAAGTGATTGTATTTAACGCCAATCTCGTTGGTTGGTGAGCAGCCGACCGCATGGAGAATGTGATGAACGAAAGTTATTTAAAAATTGTCAACCTAGCCTGACATCATCTAACGGTGGGAGGGCCACGCAGCAGCCTCGGCTATTGCACGAACGGGCAGGCTCGTCCGGGTAAGTACCACGCACTACTTTCGCGTTTCGTCTGGTGAGTGAGGTAGCCGGAGCCCAATTTTCAAAAGGTTGTCGTCCCCGATTCCCTTCATCGCTGGCCACGCGATAAGTCGGCACTAAATGGGATTCTTTGCTTGCACACACAACGCACGCCACGCCACTCGCTCGCGTGGCGCACTTTCGCCGCGCGAAGCTCTCCCCGATTCCCTTCATCGCTGGCCACGCGTCAGATGCGGCTGCAGGCGTTCATGTTCAAGCGCGACTGGCGATGCGGTTCAGGCATGTTCAAGCGCGACGGCGAGTTCGGCCCGCCGTGGCACTGCACGGACTCGGCGCGCGCGCGCTCCGAGGCGGTGCCGGTGGCGGTGGGCGCGGCGCTCGCGGTCGCCACCGCCGGCACGCTGGTCGGCTACGCGGCGTGGCGCTACCTCAAGGTCAAGAAGGTGCAGTACGACACGATGGAGTGAGCGAGAGGGCCGGCACGCGGCCGAGCGCAGTCCCTTTTCAGTCCGCGCGCTCATTCCGCTTAAGCGCGGTTCTTTTTTTTACGTTTTACTCCGCGCTAGGGATGGGCAAGTCAAAAGATATATGTTTATCGTATCGTTTTTAAAAAGTATCGATAACTTTTTTTTACTGTTTACTCTGCGCTAGGGATGAGCAGTTAAAAAGATAAATCGATACAAGAAATTATTAAGATACATCGATGTTTGATAATTGTCGGGTGAAAAATATCGATATATCGTCGGTTTTCGCATGATTATTCATACATAGTTCCAAACCATTCAAAATTTTTAAAGAATTTTTAAAGTTAACGATGTGCGAGCATGTGCAAAGAGTATCTAGTAACATTAAACACGGAACCAGAGTTGCGTTAAAAGTATGTCGAAATTGGCACGAATTCGATAGTCTAAAATAAATATCCTATATCGATATATCGCGATAAAAATTTCTACGATACATGTCGATAATTGTATGAAAAAATATCGATATCTTTTGCCCATGCCTACTCTCCGCGTTTAATCCTTGCTTACAGGCCAAAGGTTTTTTTAATATAGATTTGTTTTAGACTCTTATTTAACGTCAAAAAACTGCCACCGGTTCAACAATTTATACCTATTTAGAGAAGAATCGGCGAGAAACTCGGTGGTTTTGTTCCCTCTTTTTTTTATGGTATGTAATCGTAACCATGGAGTAAGGGGGTTCCGCGTCGAGCCCGTCCCGCAGTCGAGCACGATTTTTAGTTTGCGCGTTCAATCCTTATCGGTTGCAGTTCAGAGTCAAAGTTTCACTTTCAGTAGTAATTTTTAGTTTTAATATAGATTTGTTTAGAGTCAACTTATCGAATGTCAAGTCTTATCGAATGTCAACGTTCAGATGTTCATGGGCGGCGGGTGAGCCTCCTGCTCGTTTTCCCCTTTTTCCATTAAAAAACAAACTACCGCCGGGTCAATAACATAGACTTGCCTAGAAAACAATCGGCTGGAACGGAGAATCTCTGCGGTCTTGTCCTCGCTCTCCTTTTTTTAAATGATATATCAAATTTTTAAGGTATAAAATATTAATTTTTCTTTATCACGTACAAAAAAAGTACGTCGAATGCAAAACTCGTGGACTAGTGTCAGAAATCACGTGCTTGTTACGGCCCTCTGCGTTGGGTAGGACCGTGTTCAACCTATTATAATATCGTTGTCACAATGTGGAACGTTACTTTCTATGAGACTTTATGTTCTTAATTTAAAGTTTTACGCGCGCACTGTTTTTTTGTAATCATTTGACAATACAGAGCGAGGCGGACGTTCCCTTTATTTTAGTTACGAAGTGGGGTCGATGTTTATTTTCTTTCGCTTTCTTTTTTAATTTTTGATATTAAAGCTAGGCGGCCGCATGTTCCTCGCGCTTTTTTTTTTTAATAACAGAGTTGGGCTTTGCCAATTTCCATTTTATTCAGCGGAGAGCGCCGGCCGCATATTACGCTCGGTTTTGTACGTGTTTTTTGATAATTAAGCGGGGCCATTGTCAGTTCGCGGTTTTTGTTTTTATTTAATTATTCGATATTACGAAGTGCGACGTCGCACGTTCCGTTTCATTTCGTGCGCGATTTGTTTTCTTTTTAATGTTTTGACAAATATGTGTCTATTGCGGCCCTCGTTTCATTTTCAATTCGAGTGCGTTTTGTTTTGTTACTCTACATTATGATTTATTTAACGTATAATTGTAACAAACAAACAAGGAACGACTAATATGAGAGACTTTATTTTCGTAATTTAAAATTTAGTTTGCTTTTAAGGCTTTATTCACTTTTTGGTTTGTAACAGATATATGCAGATTCTAATTTTATGAAGAAAAATATACTGTAATAAGAATAATATTCTATAATAAACTGTTACACTGAGGGTTGTTTGATTATTGATAAAACTAAAAAAATATTATTAATTGTTTTTTTATAATAATTATTTTACGTCTTTTAAGCTTGTAACGTTTAGGGTGATTAAAATGATAATATTCTTATTTTGTGGAATTCAAATTATGTGCATCTGAGTTTTGCAGATATTTATACTAGATGCTATTTACTGTAATGTTTATTGAAAGATTATTCAGCTATCAAAAAATTAGTTGTATTAAGGTAAGAAAGCCGTGTGAAATAATACGGCGGAGATAAGTTATACTGTTGCTGTGTTGCAAATGTTGTTCACGGTTGAGTAGTGTTGTAAAAGCAAATGTATTTAATCCCTTATTCCGAAATATTCTATTATTATTACCTAGACATTATCTGAGAAGTGTTGAAAATGCGAAAATACAGTATTTCCAGTTGGAACGCGGTATTTTCTAAACTTGCGTTGATAAAAAATCAATTTACGATCATTTAGGCTTTAAGGTAATTTATTTAAGATATTAATTGTTATGTATTGTGGAAATATCAAGAAATTTTGTGTCGAAATTGACTAATTATTATTTTGCAACCATGTTATATCATTAGGTAATAATATTAATTTCATAGGGAAAAACTAGAAAGAACCCTTTAGAACGTAGAATCATTATGAGGCTAGTTATTATTGCATCATTTTTAATAAATTATAAATTGTATGTTATTTTATTGTCAATTGTTCAATAAACTCATTGTTTCGTTTTATCAAACTAGTTTACATCAATGGTGAAAATTTTTTCGAGTGACACAAAATTTCTTGGCATAAAATATTAAATAGACATATCAGAAGATAATAAATTATCATTTAACGATCATCACTATTGTAACATATGATTGGGGTGTAAAGTTATTTTAAATAGTTTGCGGTATAGCGGACGTGTATGAAATTATTACGTGTACAAGCAATAAGTACGTTTTATTGGGCGCAATCGATGCGAAGCGTACGGCTGGATCGATATTGTAATGTGCGCAAAACTTGGGACAACACTAGTTGATTGAGCGTAGTGTAAGCCTTTCATTTTCTACGCTTACTTTATTTTAATCTGTGGAAGTGCTATAAGATAATTTGTATATTCTGTGTTGAATCTTTTATTATAGGGTGTGTAGAGATAAGGTGTAGTATATGGAGGGTAGAAAATAATAAGAAATCTTATAATAAGAACTATAACAGTATCAACAATTCAATAACCCACCAGAATGGCGGTAGTTTAGCAAAGGTGTATGATTATCTATCTAGCGGAGTTGAATTTTAGTAGCCAATAACCATGTTAACTATTAGTTTATCATCAATGCCTGCTAACATAGCGTAGCAGGCAGTGGTGGTGAATTACCACACTATTAACATTTTGCGACAGAGACGTTTTATAAACTGAGATTATTCCTCTGTCCTCAATGGTGTAACATATCAATGTGTAGAAAAAGATCATAAAATGTGTTTAAAAATTGTTAGAACAATTTTTAGCTTTTAGTTAACTGTGGTAGGACCACGCAACATTGTTTGCTGTTGCACGAATGGGCAGGTCCGTCCGGGTTAGTACCACGACCTCACAGGAGACCGGCGTAAAGTAGAAGTGTAACAACTTCTGCGTTTCGTCTGGTTAGTGAGGTATCCGGGGCCTACTTTATTAAAAGGTGACAACGCATCTGCAACCCAACGGGTGTTGCAAATGTCCATAGGCGGCGGTTATCACTTAACATCGAGTGAACCGCCAGCTCGTTTGCCTCTTCGTCACATAAACATAAATTTCAAACAGTATATTAACCAATACATTAATATCTAAATAAAGGTTTAAGATGGTATATTGGCATTTTTAAGATGCACTTTAACTTTGGCATCATAACGTTTATTTTAAACATTGCTTTGAAGCGTGTTCACTTATGCAATACTTATTGTTTTATATTATTATTACTTATTCCTTATTTATGTTAATATTCCTTATTATTATTCCTTTGGCATACATTACTTTGTCTACTACTGTTAACTTAGGTCTTAATCTTACGCTACATTAGCGCCATGCTGGTCGCTTGTTGGCTTTTATCATATAGATTTTGGTGGATAAATTTTTAGTTAAAAAGACATGACATACTACTACTTATCTCCATACTCCAAACTACTTATTGTTGTTACTTGTTTATCTGTATTTCTGGAGCGATCTCAGATCGTGTTTTATGATTGTTAACTAATATTATTGTACAAATAGTTATTAGAAAAAAATAATTATTTCAGTACTAGTGCCCAAGTTTCGCTAGTTAAGGTGTGACGCGTGTGAAGGTTTCAAAAGTGAGTCGGAACGACTGTTGTCTGTTTCTTAATAATTTATCTAATACTCATCAATTATTAACATATCGTTTCTTATAATCCTTATCGTAAAATGTGTTTTGTGATTCTCATTCCAATCTAAGTATGTTGTATGTCATAAGAGTTGAATTTAGACCTAGGTAAGAATTATAGTTCTCTTTTCCTCCGCTTGCCTGAGCTGTGTACATAGGATTCGCTTTTGTTTTGCAACAATATGGAAGCTCTTGAGTAATGGCGACTCAGGCGGAATAATAATAAAAACAAAGTACCCAGACAAAATATCAAAATGTTTTTAAAATACCCATAAAAATATAAAAGTGTTTGAAGTTGAATACATAATTTATGAATTTTTACGTGACCAATTTAAGAAGTTTTTTTTAATCCTAGTCGCCAGTGCCATAAAAATATGTCACGTGGCAAAACCAGTGACTTTAGGCGTCGCAATTGTCTATGGCTAGGTCTTGTCATGCTTTTTATACATTACGTGTGTGTACTTGAATTTTTCGATACATTTATACTATTCTTAATAGCGCTTTTAGTCACCTTCTGTAAATAATTGTAATTCGAATCGCACTACTTATTATTTCGAACTCAGATATAATCTGTAAGAAATAGTTCTTTCTTTCTAAGGTCTCTAATATTTCTGAAACATTTTCCGATTAGCGCAAAACTCTATTTTCCTAATATTTTGTATTTTACCTCCGTAGTCGTTTCCCTCGATATTTTTCATAGTGTTTACG